AGCTCTGTTAAAAAAAAAGGAAAAAAGGGCTAAAAAAAAAAAAAAAAAAAAAACTTTATGCTTGGTTAAATGAGAAAGGCTGTGAAAAGCAATCACTGACACTCGTCTCCATTAGTTCATGATGAAGACGTGAGGGATGTGATCCACCTGGTTTAAGATAACTTTATTGTGCTTATTAAAAGTCATTCCAGGCAATATCCCGGGTTTCTTGTTCTCTAAAATGTGCTTCAAAAGTGCAAATAAAGACTTTGCCAACATACAACAGTAAATAACCTGCTTTTCCAAAAGAAGGAAAACAATTCTGAGGTTAAATAGAGAGCAAAGTAAGACTTAGCTTTAAGTATTGCTTCTCAGATGTTTCTCCTAGGAAAAGACCACAGTAAACTCACATGTGTCTCCTCTAGAGTTTTAGAGTTTACATTTTAATCATATCTTAAACTCAGCTCAAATTGACCAAGATACCAAAGTGTGCTGTGAAAAGTCTGAGATCTCATTATGAACATTTCTCATAAAATTCTCCCAAAAGACCAAAATATAATATATGAGCTATGCCGGTCACATTCATTTTGTAGCTCTATAGTCTTACTGTACATCAGCAATTGTCTCTGTGTCTGTTTTTATGTCAGTTGATTTTAGGAGAAATATTGAAAACTCAGTTTAGTCTCCATTTAGCCTTTGAAGCAATAACAACTCTTCTGGGTTGTATCATAAAAAACTGCTCTATTCATTTGAGCATCCAGGCAAGCTTAACACCAACATTGGCTCAACCAATGAAGTGAGTTTGGTGTGCAACTATCTGTTTGTCTGAGCAATTGCAGTGTTTGTAAATGGAATTGTGCACTTTATTTTAGTTCTTAATCTTGTTTTTTTTTCTTCTCTTCTTGCATGCAGGATTGAATTATTTTGCTTTGAAGATTTCAAGGTCTTTTCAGGCTGAGAGATATGGAGGGCATAGTATATATCTATGAATCCGCCAGCATGCCACCAGGAAATCAGATACAATTGCAAAATGCAGCTCTTTAAGAACAAACAGCTGTGTGCCAGCAGCAAGCCCTGCCCTTCCAGTTTCCTCCATCAGCTACGCTGCGGTGGAAAATTCCACTCCCATCCTTATCGTTCCACACATCTGTCTTGTCCTCAGCCACAGCTAGGCGCAGCTTAACACCTCACTTGTGTTCACAGACACTCACAGCTCCCCTGTCACTCACCCCTGACTCCTGGTTCACACACACCTGCATAAGAGTCTGGGATTGTGTGTTTTTCCAATGCCTCCCTGGTCTTCTTTCTCAACAAGTCAGGTGATCTGAACTGCAGAATACCTATGCTGAAAAACATGTAGTGTTGTGTTTTGTGAATATTTCCTTACAGTGTTTGTGCCAAGTAGGATTTCCTGGATCTTCATTGGTTCTGCAACCAGTTGGTTTTAGGGTTAGGGTTAGAGTAAGGTTAAGCTAGTTCTTTAAATAACCTTTTTTTTCAACTATTGAACTATTCCCTTTTGTCAAAAACTTAAGCACCCATAAGGCACTTTTGATTTAGCTGACTTTGCCATCTGACTGCCTTGGGGTGGGAATACAAAAATCTGGAAGTTTTGAGAAAATACCTGGTGTTGTCAAAAGTGTGCCGGATAACACAAAATGACATGTTTTGCATCATCCGGTGGAATTTTGCTGACAAATACAGGATATCTGGGTCCAAGTAATGCAAAGTACACACATTGATCATTTACATACACTACTGACGTTAAAATTGAATCAAATCAATACGCCAAATGTTTTCCTACACATCAGGATGAAAAGCCATTTTTAGAAGCTTTATTTTGAATTGTGCATCATCTCCTTTGTTCTCCTCTGTGCTGTAACTGGTAAATAGCTTTCAGACTTCCATAGAATATCTACCTCACCCACTATGATTTACTATGGAAAGGAAACAACACTAACCGGCAGGGTTTGTTTACTATACTTTGTATGGAAAATCTTTCAGGAATGTTAAGGAAGTGGGTGTAGCTCCGTGGAGTTTGTATTTTATGAGGTTGCAAATGAAGGGGCGTGGGGATTCACGCTTCAGGTGGGTTTGAGCTCTGTGGGTGGGGCAGAAGTCTCTTGTAGATGAGAGGCTATGCTTCTGAAGATGCTTATCCCTGTATCAAAACCTCAATTACATGAAAGTAGGCAATAATATACCTGCTTTAGTGAATGCTTTTTTACCACAGGAAAATTCCCCAGCAGGATGAACTTTCAGTGGCTTGCTATCTGATTTAGGGCTTCTGTCTCTGGGTTCCCCCCTTTAATTCCGCCCATAACTCCAACCAACAGCCTCTGCACTACGACATGCATTGGATGCATTGGATCGTAAATGCAAATGAACTGCCATATAATTCCCAGTATTGTCCCAAGGTAGTGCTTACTCTCTCAAATCTATCATGCACACTAATCTAACCCAAGATTTCAAGAGCAAAATTGATAGCCACTGGCAACACATGGGTTTTTCATTGTGAATGAATTAGAATTAACATATTTTTTGATAGCTGTATTATATTTAAACACAGGACTAATAATTAAAGCGACAGCTTATACTATAAGTTATAATATAATCATAACTGCAAGAGTACTTACAGGAAGGGTATTGGTTACAGCATTCAGATGATGTCATTGGTTGCTAACTGTTACATAAATGCCACATGCATTTCCACAAATCAGATCAACTCAACAATCTGTTGGGACATTGATTTATTTATGATGACAAAACGCAACTGAGGCTGGAGCTAAAAAGCAGACTCACCGTTTACACAAGCAGAGCCGTGCTTTGCCTCACTGGACGTTAAAAGAAAAGCCAATGTTTACCATTATCAGATGAATGTGTAATTGGATCTCCTCCTATTGCTACGGTGGAGCTGGAGATGGATGATATGGAGGGAGTGGTGGACTATGGCCAAGAGGAAAGACGAGATCACAGGGCAGGGGGAGAGGGCTTTTGGGTGTCTGTAATTGGTACCTTCCCAGTATCCCCAGAGGACAAGAGTTTTCTAAAAAAAGAGGTGGGCCATTTCAAGCCTGTAGGGCACCAACGGTGGCAGGGTTTTTCCATCACTGTCCTAACTGGTAGTGTTGGTATTGAAGTCATTATCTGGGGCTTGGAAAGTTATTTAGTTCCGTATTACCAGATGTAAAATCAGAGGCTAATTGAAAGGTAACTAACTCGCGGAGGGCCTCTAGGAATAAGTTTAACCAGTCATCCGCCCCTTGCTAAAGGGCCAGGCCACACAGCACTGCCAAACTTATCCATTCTTTTCAGGCCTCTTATCAGGCCACAGACAGCCTCAGTGCCATGGGAAGTTTGACTCGCTGGGTAGTGTTTTGTGTATTGTGTTCCTAGCATAGCCCTTTTACAATGACTTTAAAGAGTTGCCAATGCGATATGGTAAGAGATGGAGAAAGTCAGTCCAGCTGGAAGTTTGTAGAGCCACTTTCTGCTCCAGAGAAACAAGTCTCTTTTCTTTTTTTTTCTTTAACTCAACTTTTGTTTTCTCTTTATCACCAGTGAACCCATTGATTGGTAGGCTTAAGACCTTAATGGAACCTCGTATAGATTTGCTGAACTCCCTGCAGGTACCGGATGAAATCCAAAGTCAGGCTGGCGTATGTTGTTCTAAGAAGGTTTACAGGTGCTTGGTTATTAAAATAATGTGCTTTATTTGAAGAAAACCCATACAGTGTCTGTGCTTAAATACTTAATAGACATATGAAGACAAATACATGATGAATAAGATTTGATACGTGATTTTACAACATATATGACAATATATGCCATGATTTTACAGAATGAAAATCATAAACCCCAACAGTTATTTACTGTAAAAATAAAAGAAACTAGATATTCTAAAAAAAGTGTATGTGGTTGCAAGGCTTTTTTATGCATTGGCTATGTTGTCCTAAGTGGTTGTTAGCGCATTGCTGTGTTGTTAGGGTTTTCTGGGGTGTTTCTAGGTGGTTGCTAGTAGAGGTCGACCTTATGTACCGCTGTCATTATACAGTGCGAGAGCAACCTCTAGAGAGGGAAATCACTGACACCTCATGTTGTTTGTTTTGACACGTGAGGCTGCGCGCTTCACAGAGCGGGAAACTTCAGCTGCGCATTTAAATGCAGAAAATCCGACAGAAAATCCAGCCACAGAGTGCCATTTACATAGTTTTCCATTAAATTACATTACAAATTACTTATTTGTCCCAAATCTCTCTAATAAAGTAGACCTTTGCTTTAAATTGATAGCTATAATATCGTTTTTTTTTTTTTTAAATGCCGAACTTCAAACTCATCTATGCCACTTTGTTCATTCTTGAAGTAAACTTTTGCCCATTTTGTAATTAAATCAACTGCTTTAGACCGCCACTCAAGTGGAATGTGATGCGTCCAGTGTGTGTGATGCCTGTGCGTTGTAGACACAGCGCTGTGCTTTTGCCTTGTGTGACTGCCTTATTTTTTATTTATATATATTTTTTTTTTTCAACATCTATTATTATTAATACATTTTTACATTTGAAAGTTTTTTTCTGTTAACATTAGTTAATAAACTATGAACTAACTTTAATGATCAATATAATATTTATTATTAATATGTTTTATTCATTTACAAAGTATGGTTTATTAAACCATGATTTATTTGGTATCAGCCAGTGTGGTCTAACCTAGCTATCTGTATCGGTATAATCCACTGTCGGTCAACCTCTAGTTGCTAGGGTATTCAGGGTGATTGCTTGGTGGTTACTTCCTGGCACAAGTCCGGAGATCCCATCCAGGCCATCTTCCACCCTGTGATTGACTTAATAGTCAGTTAATAGTCAATTAACTCTTACCCCATCAATGACAGAATTTTCTGGCTTTCTGTGTTTTCACAGTTATATGGGGCCGTATAATTATTACACTATTGCACATCTTCTGAAAGAGTGCCAGATGTCTGGATCAAAAGATACAGTACGTAAGTAGATGCATATGCAAAATAATGCAATCATTAAACATTAAACAGCATAAAAAGCTAAATTGCCTAAAATTATTGAATGAAATGTCGATCCAGTTTAGAAATGTTTAGGATTCTGCAAGCTTTGGGGTGTTGATGGAAGCGATCTACTCCATCTATGTTTTGATCATCATTCTGAATCCAATCCGGACATAGTCTTTGAATGTGGGTAAGTTTCATTTAAAAAAGCAACATTTTAAACAAAAGGCTGATAAAATCGCGTTTTTGTTCAAAATGTTGCTTTTTTTTTATTAAAACTTACCCACATGCAAGCGTTGATTTAAAAAAGGTATGCATGAAGTTAGAATGAAATGTTAAATGTTAAATAAATGTACGTTTCTACAATAGAACAATAAACAAGAACAATAAACAGTTCTCTGAAAGGTAAAAGGTTTCAGGTCGCTAGGTCCTGTTAAAAAAACAGTATTTTCCCACCTTTATGAACAATGCTATGTCACTTTTCACAAAGACTGCTGAACGAGTAAGACAGGTTTGCTATTTACTTCTTGTCAACAACAACCATGTTGACAGAACTCCCAGCAATCCTTTCCATGCTTTTCACTCATTGACTCTCTAAGCGTGTCACTTTAGCTGAAGAATCAATACAGTATATTCAGAGTTTGTATGCACAGCATGACAGTCCGAAAAACACTACATTACAGGAAGAGAGGCCCGGCAGACTGTTCTGTCTAGCCTTGAGTTATAAGGTGAGAATTCCCCATCTCCCCTCTGATTGATGGAGTCTGAGTCACGATCTCCAGAGGGTCTGGGGCCCCTACTCCATTAGAGGCCACTGTTTTACAGTTCAGACAAAAGGGGAGGGCTGAGGGAATGGAATACATGCAGACTCCATACAGACTCACTCACACAAAGCACTGAAAACTTCATTTGTGTGCTTGTCAATCTTTGGAGCATAAGAATGCAGAATATAAATGTAAAGGCTTTCATTATCAGGGGCCAGGGCTATTCAAATGGAAATGTGCACATCAGTACGTTTGCAGGTGCATATGCATTCCAAAAGCAAAAGTAGTTCCGTCTGTTAACCCCAATATTGGGGCTAATTGCTGTACACATAATACTTGTATTATTGTGTTTTATTGCCTGGCCTTCACTACAAATATATATTTATATATATATATATTCAGCAGTGCAATTATGACATTAAAACATCTGTTCAGTTTAAATGATCAAGTCTGAAGTGCATAATAAGCCAGCAAATTGTGAATATGGGTATTGAGATATCCCAGGGGTCATTGATAGGGTGTGCTTGATGGTTGCTAGTTGTTTTTAGAAGTTTTAGAAAGTTGCTAGGTTGCTGCTTTGTGGGTGCTAGGCTGGACTGGACGATTTATAGGGCATTGTTGGGATGTTATGCTGTTCTGGGTGAATTACAATCACTGTATATTTAATTCATACAGTGTATCCTATGCAGTATTTTATCTTTACCTTTACTTTATTCAGTTACTGTTGTATTGCTTACTTTGGTTAGATAGTCCCACCTTTTCTGACAAAAAGACAAAGGTGCAAGTCTGTGCACTTAACTGCTTTAATGAGGGAAAGAACTACAATTTCACAAACCATTGTGAATGACATAAATCAAATTGAAAATGGAGAAACACATCCATTTAAAGTTGTTGATTGTATCTATAGAAACAACATGTTTTTAAGTTTATTGCAAAATATATATATTTTAAAATGTTAGTGTTTTGAGAGTGCTTGGGGAGACTCGACTCAATTACATAATTTGCTGTGCTTCATGGGAGTGGGCGGAGCTCAGCACTCTGATTGGTGGAATTTTCTGTACAGCATCATGGGTAATGTAGTTTTCACCAGGGATTCCGCTGTTAAACCTGATTATTTAATCAGCTGCAGTCAGATCTACTACCGCTTCATCTTTCAACAAATGTTTATTTGTGAACTCTCCATGACACTGTGCCTCGTTTACAAAACAAAATACTCCGAAAAATCCTCTGACGCAATCTGGGATGCCATTAAAAATAAACGATCAACTTTTTTCCTTACGCTGGGATCCTTCTGATATCTGTACAAAGATGCGAACGAGCTGTTTAATCCAAACGCGTCAAAGCGAATGTTCTTTCACTCAATTTGTCCTATTGACAGACTCATGCGGGTGTCAGAAAGTGAATGTGCATCTATATAGGCTACTGTATCCAGTGTAGACAAGATAGCGGCAGTGATTGCAATTTCTATTTGCTTTTGGCGCGACACTCATATTCAGCAAGATCAAGTCGTTAAGTGACTGAACGCCAGTGGTCGGGGGGCTATGGTGAGAAGATGACTATTTGTCAATGTCTTGCTCTGGAATCAGTGTTATGCAAATGTTTGTGTCCGGGTGACATCATCTTGCACCTCAGATCCAAAACGAGACGTTTTTGGAGCTTGATTAAATAAATGCTTTGTTTATAATGAGGAGGACATTTAAAGCTATAAAACTTGCAGGATGTTTTAATGGTACAAAGCCCTCTTATATGCCAAAATATCAAGGCAAATTTGATTTCTCATGTCATGACCCCTTTAAAACAGTGGTGTCCAATGCTGCTCCTGGAGGGCCACTGCCCTGCAGAGTTTTGCACCAACCCTAATTAAACACACCTGAACCAGTTAATCAATGTCTTACTAGGCATACAAAACTTCCAGGGAGGTGTGTTGATGCAAGTTGGAGCTAAACTCTGCAGGACAGTGGCTCTCCAGGACCAAGTATGTATGGACACCCCGATTTGAAACATAAGCTGAAATAATGCAACAACCGTGGCTCACAGTAAGTCTGTCTTTAAAGGTTATCATTAAAAATCTATTTTCCTTTGAAGAAAATTAATGGCATTTTAACTTCCTGAACCTGATTGTTGCACTCTGTAAACGTTTTATTTGCAGTAAGATTAGTTTTTGCTGTGATTTCGAAATTGGTTTCGAGAACTGAATTGCAATGGTAAAACTTGCAGATTTATTATCTGCTTATTCACATGAATTTTTCTTAGTTGGGATATGATAGACTTCCTTTCTCTACTGAGTCCTTCCCCTCCTACCTTCTTGCAGAGCATGTACTTCTGTAATGCAAACCATCAGCCAAATGTGCCGTAAAAGGTCAGCCATGGTGCAGGGGCCCCTGCTATTTTACCAAGGCCGGAGCAGCTGATGTCAGGCTTCTGTAATTGATGTCATGTCCCCAAGATCAGCGGGAGGTGAGCGCCTCAGGGTGTGGTGGAGGTATTCAATTGCCCTTGCGTTTTTGGGGCACGTTTGCTGTGTAAAGGTAATGGAGGGTTCAAGTATTTGTGCTTGTGGAAATTCATGTGGGATAGCTGTTCAACGTATGGGCGTGCGAGTGGTTAAACAGAGCGGAGTGAACCAGTGATGAGGCTTACAGGCCTGGCTGGAGCAGCGAGATGACATCAGAGAACAAACTGTACAAACAACAATGCTTGTAGCCTAGGAGACTGGCTTCATTTGGCCTCGGACTGCAGGTCCATCAACACCGTAAGAGTGGCGAGCCCATAAGATGGTAACACCCCCATCTGTTGCTCTCCTTCACTGCTCTCCCTCCCCTTCACATCATCAGTCCGGCTTGAAAAAAACCCAAGGTGTTTATAATTGCTTTGGACAAATTAGGTACTTTTGGACATCTTTTCTTAGTCAGTTCTAAGTTCTAGCACACATCTGGGCGTAAGCTGCGAGGCCAAGATATTGAATGACGAATTGCTCATTGTAATTGCTATTTCCGATTAGCAGGTTATTGCCTGCGTGTGTGCATCTAAGAAAGAGCATCATGAGAACATTTCGAATGTAATATTGGAGATGTTTATGTTGGCCTATCTGATGCTTAGGAAAGAGTGCGTGGGTGTGTCTACATGTCCCTGGTTACTGATCATGGAGGGAAGCATGTGACTGGCCTAGTTACTGTAGCCTCTCATGGAAAGAATCAGTTTCGAACTCTCCATAGACAAACACACACTCCTCTTCACCGTGACATTCTGCATTATGTAATTACAATCCTTCGTTTTTTTTTGTTTTTTTTTTCTGTGGATGTTGCAAATTCAGTTACCATGGCCATGGTCCAGGGCATCTGGTATCCATTAGGGTAATAACAGCCAGATAAAGAGGATGACAAATGAACAGGGATGCCTGAGTGGAACCTTGGCAGCCCCTGGAGGGATCCAGCCCTGTTCCACAAGGCCCCGTCTCTGACCCGCGAATGAGATCCTGTGCGAGAAATGGTCCAAGTAACAACTTAGCGACTGAAAAAGACACAGGCCTACATGAGACCACAAAGACTTGCCTTAGATATAATTTTGTCATTTTGGACTCAGTGGCTTCCCAAGACACTTGTCAGTGAAAAGGGGCATCTTTTTCATATCCTCCCTAACCGAAGGAATTACACCGCTAGTTGTCATATGAGCCGAATGAAGGCATGTGCAAACAGTTACTGTAAATGTAGTGTTCTTTTCCACTGTGGGGTATTTGCTAAAGCCAGGAGAGGATGTGCAGGGTATAACTTAGTGGTCCTGCTTCAAAAGAAGCGAGGGAAAATTTGGACGAAACGGGGGAAGAATTAAATGAAAAAAAATATGACAGATGCAAACGCTCTCTCTCACACATTCTGAATGTGTGCTTTTCTCAATATGCTTCTTATTCCTGGTTGGTGTTTTTGTGCCTGGGCACGTCTGATGTTCCCTCAGGGGTTTTTGGGATTAAGACGGTAACTTGCATGACATAAACCCAGTACTATTTCAGTAACCAGCAAACCTTCTTCATGTTGCTTCCTCGATCTATATTTTGGTTGTCTACTTTGGCATGTCCACTGACACTGCCACCCATAGACCAGAAACAGGAGCTGATGATGACAGGATGCACTGTACATTGAAAAGAAAAACATGTTTTTAAACAGTATTTAATGTTTACCCCTTCATTGTAAAAAAATATACAGGTATATTTCTAATTCTTAAAAAAGAACTTTGGACAAACTGTACAAAGAGCATGGTTTGTGTGTGTGTGTGTGTGTGTGTGTGTGTTTTCATGCATAAGCAATCAAATATGTGCTACCAGTCTTCTTTAATTCCTCAAATTACATTTTTTAATTGCCCAGACATTGCTTTTTCATTGCTCAGGAGATTATGGTAACACTTTAGCATAGGGACCAATTCTCACTATTAACTAGTTGCTTATTAGCATGCCT